GCCCGGAAGGAGGGGCGGGGACGGGGCCCGGGCCTGGCGAGGGCCCGGGGGCGCGTTTGCAAACGCTTTGAACTTCTGGGGCGATGGGGAGCCCCCGCTGGAGACCCTGCGTAAGGGGGCATTTGCAGGGGAGTGCCATTTTCGTCCTGGCGCACTCGCTCAGGGCAACCCCCGTTGTAAGCTGGACTTGGAGGTAATGAGGGTGGGCCAAGTTCACAGGATGTAGGGCCCTTCCGTCACCCCGATCACGCGTGTGGCATCCTCTGCTTGGAACACGAAACGTGTTGCTCACAGAGTAACTCAGTTGAAACCCTGGGCTCCTACGAGGAGGGTGAGTAATGACACCTGGCATGTGTAGGGCGCTCCCCAGCACTTGCAGAGAGTGCTTTTTACTTAATGGGTTCATTATATTCAAACCATCAAGCAACCCTGGGAGTTAGGCCGAGAAAGGCCAAAGGTGCAGGAAGTTCTGTGTGTCTACTACCCCGCACTCTTCATTTATTTCTCCAGCCTTTCTCTAAGCAGCTGGGAAGAGAGAGTGGGGAGAAGGCGGGCTGGAGACCCATGTGGACACAGGGAAAGAGGAGGAGCCTGCTGGGAAGGTCTTTCTTGAAATGGCTGATGAGCAAACCAAGAGAAGGGCCAAGGAACTGGAAGTATGCACAGGGAAGGAGAAGGCAGATGGGATGGGACAGAGACGGAACAGATTCTGATCCAGGGTAGTGGCAAAGAGAGCAAAAGGAAATGGTCTTCAGAAGCCAGGTAGCCCTGGCTTCCTAGTGTTGCCACTTCTGCGCCTTGTGACCTTAAGGAAGTTATTTAACCTACTCAAACTCCCTCTGCCTCATCTTTAAAACTTAAACAATAATAGTTCCAACTTTATGACATGGCTGTGCACTTTCAAAGCGTTAGGAAGCATTGAGTATAGTGCATGGCATATAATATTGATATTAACAATTAACGTTGGCTGCAGTTTTTGATGCAGAAATTTCCTTGGAGGGTGTATCGAAAGATAAATTGGGGTGGACGTACCCTTTAGGAAGCTGTGACAATACTCTAAGCTGCTGGTAATGGTAGCTTGAACCACGGTGATAGAAAGCAGGTAGAAGACAGAGGAAAAATGGACAGAGCGTGCCATCAGTTGGATGTGCAGAATGAGGAACAGGAATCAAACCCATTTCTAGATTAAGTGGATGATACTGCCATTCACATAAGTAGATAAAACTGATGGAGTTTTGGGAGATGACTACTGGCATTCTTTGTTTTCTTGTGCTTTGCTTTAATGCACTTCTTGTGTTTTGGAATTTTGTTTGTTTGTGTTTTATGAATTTCAGTTTTGTGGCTACCCTGCATCCAACAAGTCTATCAGAATCATTTTTTCCAACATCATGTGCTTTCTTTATGTCTCCATGTCACATTTTCGTCATTCTCACCGTTTTTCACACTTTTTCACTTTTATTCTATCTGTTATGGTGATCTATGATCCGTGCTCTTCGCTGTTACCATTGTAATTGTTTTGGAGTACCACGAACCACACCCATCAATTGATAAAAGTTGTGTGTGTTCTGACTGCTCCTTCAACCAGCCGGTTTCCATCTCCCTCTCCTCAGGCCTCCCTATTCCCTGAGACACAACGGTATTGAAATTAGGCCAGTTAATATCCTTATAGTGGCATCTAAGTTTTCAAGTGAAAGCAGGAATCCCACGACTCTCACTTTAAATAAAAAACTACAAGTGAATAAGCATAGCGAGGAAGGCATGTCAAACTTAGATAGGTAAAAGCTAGGTCTCTTGCACCAAACAGCCAAGTTGTGAATGCAAAGGAAAAAAGTTCTTGAAGGAAATAAAAAGTGCTAACACGTGTATGATAAGAAGATGAAACAACCTTATGCTGATATAGAGAAAGTTTTTGTGATCTGGAGAGAAGAGCAGACCGGCCACATCATTCCCTGAAGCCAAAACCTCACCCAGAGCAAGGCCCTAACTCTTTCCTATGGAGTCTGAGAGAGGTGAGGAAGCTGCAGAAAAGTTTGAAACTAGCAAGAGGTTGGTTCATGAGGTTTAAGGAAAGAAGCCACCTCCATAACATAAAAGTTTAAGATGAAGCAGCAAGTTATCTAGAAGGTCTAGATGAGATCCCTGATGAAGGTGGCTACATTGAACAACAGATTTTTTTTTTCTCTTTGAGTTGGAGTCTCACTCTTGTCGCCCAGGCTGGAGTGCAGTGGCATGCTCATGGCCACCGCAGCCTCAACCTGCTGGGCTCAGGTGATCCTTCCGCCTCAGCCTTCCGAGTAGCTGGAACGACAGACACACACCGCCACACCCGGCTAGTTTTTGTGATTTATTGTGGAGATGAGGTCTCACCAAGTTGCCCAGGCTGGTCTCGAATCCCCAGGCTCAGGAAATCCTCTTGCCTCAGCTTCCCAAAGTGCTGGGATTACAGGCTGAGCCACCGCACCTGGCCATAGATTTTCAATGTAGATAAAACAGCCTTCTATTGGAAGAAGGTACCATCTAGAACTCTCCTAAGAGAGAAGTTAATGCCTGGTTCCAAAGCTCCAAAACACAGGCTTGTTAGGGGCTAATGCAGCTGGTGACTTTAAGTTGAAGCCAATGTTCATTTACCATTCCAAAAATCCTAAGACCCTTAAGAATGATGCTAAATCAACTCTGTCTGTGCTCTATAAGTGGAACAACAAAACCTGGCTGATAGCACATCTGCTTACAGCATGGGTTACTGAATATTATAAGCCCACTGTTGATACCGACTGCTCAGAAAAAATGATTTTTTTCTCACTGACACTGCTCCTGGTCACCCAAGAGCACCAATGGAGATGAGATGTACAAGGAAATTAATGTTGTTTTCATGCCTGCTGCCATAACATCCATTCTTCAACCTATAGATCAAGGAGTAATTTCAACTTTCAGATTTTAGTATTAAGGAAATACATTTCAGGCTGGGCTTGGTGGCTCAGCCTATAATCCCAGCACTTTGGGAGGCTGAGGTGAGTGAATTGCCTGAGCCCACGGGTTCAAGACCCACCCTGGCAACTTGGTGAGACCTCGTCTCTATAATAAATCAAAAACTAGCCAGGTGTGGTAGTGCACGCTCATAATTCCAGCTACTTGGAAGGCTGGGGCAGAAGGATTACCGGAGTCTAGCAGGTCAAGGCTGCAGTGGCCGAGAGCATGCCACTGCACTCCAGTCTGGGCGACAGAGAGACTCCAACTCAAAAAAAAAAAAGAAATACATTTCATAAGGCTGTAGCTGCAATCGATAGTGATTCCTCTGATGAATCTGGGCTGTGAACATTGAAAACCTTCTGGAGAGGATTCACCATTTTAGATGCCATTAAACACATTTGGGATTCATGGGAGGAGTCAAGATAAAACGTTAACAAACGTTTGGAAGAAGTTGACTGCAACCTTCACAAAGGACTTCGAGAGATTCCAGACTTCGGTGGAGGAAGTAACTTTAACACGTGGTGGAAATGGCAAGAGAACTAGAATTAGAGGTGGAGCCTAAGGACGTGACTGAATTGCTGCAGTCTCATGACCACACTTGAACAAATGAGGAGTTGCTTCTGACGGTTGAGCAAAAAAAGTGGGTTCTTTGGATGGGGTCTACTCCTAGTGAAGATGCTGTGAACATTGCTGAGATGACAACAAGGGTTTTAGAATAGTCCACAAGTTTAATTGATAAAACAGCAGGACTTGAGAGGATTGACTTCAATTTTGAAGGATGTTCTACCATGGGTAAACTGCTATTAAACAGCATCACATGCCACAGAGAAATCTTTTTTGAAAGGAAGTGTCCATCGATGTGGCAAACTTAACTATTGTATTGTTGTCTTATTTTAGGAAATTTCCTCAGCCACTCCAGCCTTCAGCACCCTACCCTGATCAGTCTGCAGCTGTCAACGTTGAGGAAAGACCCACCACCAGGAAAAAGAGTATGACTGCTGAACGCTTAGATGACAGCAGTTTTTGGCAATAAGTTCTTTTAAAATGATGTACATTTTTAAAGACATGATGCTACCGCACATTTAACAGGATACAACCTAGTGTAAATACAACTTTTACATGCACTGGGAAACCAAAACATTTGTGCGACTCACTTTATTATAATATCCATTTGATTGCAGTGGTCTGGAATCAAACCTGCAATGTCTTTGAGGTGCGCCTATAGTTTGATTTGGGGCACGTATCACTTAAGGCTTTCTATGTGTATGACCAAGTGGCGGTCGGAAATGTGGATTTGCATTTTTCATGCAGAAAGGGCACTTTGAGAGTCAGTTGCTTAGGAGAGGCAGTTGAAGAGCATGTGAAGAGGAAAAGGGAAGACAGCAGGGATGGGTAGGGGAAAGTGAGCAGTCAGATCATGATACCAGGCAGGAATTGGTGAAGGCTCAAAGGGAAAACTGCAGGGATGCAGTGACATGGGAGTCAAGGGAGGGTGGAGAGGTGAGGAGCTCATCAGCAGATCAAATGCTGTACACAGGAAGCCAATAACAGGAAAGAGGCCACCGGATTTATAGATCAACAGTCTGTTGGGATAGAACTGCCTCCAGGGGGTGTTTTGGAAATTTCCAGAGGGATTTTGCACATCCCAGTGATTGAGATGGGAGTACTACTAGAATATAGTTGGTGGGGTCGAGTAGACATCTTTCATCGCCCAGCACAACAAAAGAATTGTCCCACATCCTACGAGACTTTTTTTTTTTTTTTTGAGTTGGAGTCTCACTATGTCACCCAGACTGGAGTGCAGTGGCCGCTTCCGGCCACCGCAGCCTCGACCTGCTGGGCTCCGGCGATCCTTCCGCCTCAGCCTTCCGAGTAGCTGGAATTACAGGCATGCGCTACCACGCCCGGCTGATTTTTTTATTTATTGTAGAGATGAGGTCTCGCTGCCCAGGTGGGTCTCGAACCCATGGGCTCAGGCAATCCACTCACCTCAGCCTCCCAAAGGCGCGGGATTACAGGCTGAGCCACCGAGCCCGGCTTCCTACGAGACTTGAGTGTCCCACTGCTCATTTATGTAAGTAAAAAATCTGTTTATAATTGTCTGAGCTGAACCTGCAATCTGTTTACATGTAAACATAAAATTTTTTTTATACATTTTAAAAAGATTATTACATCTTCCTGGGGTGTGATAAATTGAATGGCACTATCATTCATGGAATTTGAATCACTAATGCAGTTCATTTTGTGGTTGTCCCTTTCCTGGAGATTTTACAGATGGATGCAAGTATCTGCCTACTCCACTGTGTCTTTTAGTTTAGGGATGCCTGAGCATTTTCTGATTGGATCATGTATTATTTTATTGTAAATTACTTTCTTTACTTTTTCCCTTATAGTATAGTTAAGGCATAACTTTAATTTTTTTTTTTTTTTTTTGAGTTGGAGT